AATATATATATATATATATATATATATATATATATATTCCATACAATACAAAAAAGTATATTCCATACAAATAGTTAGATCATACAAAAATTTTATAATATTTTCTAAGTTTTATCGTAAAAAATTCATAAAGATTATTTTTTCTGAATAAATATTATTTTAATTAAAACATAAGTAGACTAGAATCAATTTTAGTATTCAATATTTATTTTTTTTTCAATATAGAAAAATCATCATATAATGTAATAAATATTGTAGAAATTTCAATGTAAATATCATTTAACTTATTTGAACTAGTATATATACTTACCTAAACTACCATTATCACTGAAGAAAAAAATTGCGAATAGAGATAAGAATTTATATATCTTCATTATTGAAAACCGCTACACGACTGTCGAGTTATTGTCCTGATAGATAGCTTTCACTCGATTACAATACGGTACTTTTATTCTCAAAGAATAAAAAAAAGGCGCGCTCGAAGTCTAAAGAAAGATAGAGCTAAAACCTGTTGCTGAAGACTCTTGTACAATAAATATATTGTGTATATATATATATATATATATGAAACATCTTTATGAATAATACCAAAGTAAATAAATTTCTATGATAAGTAATAAAAATAATTTTATTTAAAAAACGTAAAATCTAATTGTTATATAATTTTTTTTCTCTTCTTTTTGCTCTTTTTAAAAGAGCATCATGAAATAATCTATATATAAAAATCTATACAAACTTAAATAAAAAGAATAGAATTATATTAGTTGAATATTTTATTTATTGTTATATTTTAAAAAATTAATTGCTCCAAATTTTCTGCAACCTTAAATACAATATGTAATTCAGGTAATCTAACATAGGGGTTATATAAGCTGATTTTAATTGTCTACAATACTATGAATTATTATATTTTTTTATTTTTCTCTTGTTATATATTTTTTTTATTTTGCTCTTATATGTTTTATATTTTGTTTTATTAAAAATTTATATAATTATTTAATTTTTTTTTTATTTTTAGAAAACCGTTGTGTAAATGCATCTTAAGCATTTATCTAAAACATTTACACAATTTAAAGATGGCTGCACTCATGAATCATAATAGGTTAAAGTGTTTATACTAATTTTTTAAGTTTGAATTAATTTTTTACAATGCCAGTTATAATTATGACTGGTATACCATGTAGTGGTAAAACAACAAGAACTTGCGAATTGAAAGAATATTTTATAAATGAAGCAAAAAAAAAGTAGAAATTATAAATGAAATTGATGTTGTGACTAAAACAGGTTTTGATCGAAATCAATTTTTTGCTGGTTAGATTCTAATTTATTTTAATTTTTTATACTAAAAAAAAATTTCTTTCATCATCAACTTATGTTTTATATTATTTTATTGTAGATTCAAAAAATGAAAAAAGAGTGAGAAGCGATATAAAATCATCAATACAACGACTATTAAATATAAATGATGTATTAATTATTGACGCTAGTAATTATATTAAGGGATATCGTTATGAGATCTATTGTATGACAAAATTATATAAAACCCCTCAGTGTACAATATTTTGTGATATACCAGTTGAACATGCTTGGTTGTGGAATATAAAAAGACCAGAATGTGAACAATATAAGAGAGATATTTTTGATGGACTCGTAATGAGGTAATAAAAAAATATTATGGATTGCTGTATTAAGTTTTTAACAAAATATAATTAGAGATTTATAATATATAGATATGAAACACCAGATAATAAAAATCGTTGGGATGTACCATTATTTAATATATTACCAGAAGATGAACTAAAATTTGATGATATTTATAAATCACTATATGAAGTAAAAGCACCAAAACCTAATTTAAGTACACAATGTGTTAGTATTAATATACAATGAATTAAAATAAATTGATTAATATAATTTTTAAGTTGATTAATTATGTTTATTTTAGCCACCATTATCTTCTACTAACTATTTATATGAATTGGATATAATTACTCAAGAAGTAGTTAACGTAAGTTGTTTAATAACATTTATTTATTAATAATTATAATAAAATAATAAAATTTGTAAATATAAAAAATGAAATACCATAAATGACATTATTATGACTAATTATAAATTGATTATTTTTTTTTTTTTAGGCAATATTATCATCTAAGCAATTAGGTATTGAAAGTGAATTTAAAATACCAGAATATAATTTGACAGTACATAATCCATGTACTGCAATACAACTTATGAGATTACGAAGACAATTTTTAATTTATAGTAAAATGCAACAAAGTGAAATTAATCAAATTGCATCATTATTTGTACAATATCTTAATAAAAATTTATAAGAAAAATATTGAAATATTTAATTATTAATTATTTTTATACTAGAATATATATATATGTATATACAGAGTGAGATTGAAGAATTGAATAAAAATAATTCTAAGTGCAAAAACAAATCAAAAAAGAAACATATATTTTTTTTTTTTCAAGAAAATCGAGAAAATCTGTCAAATAAAAAGAATTTCACAAATCCTTGACTAGATACAAAAGAATTAATTATATATATAAGAATAAATAAAAATAATAAAATAAATTTTTTTTTTCGTAAAAAAAATAAATGAAATTGAACAAAAATAATTATGCACTCAATGAATTTTTAAATTTAATTTTCTTAAAAATTAATTTGAAAAATATCACATCATATTTGTTTCTTATTTTCATATGTAAAATAATCTTTTATAATAATTCATTTATATCCAGTCAGAAATTAGCTAAAAATTTTTATATTTGATAATTTTTCAAAACAAAATTTCAAATGAAAAGATGTTATTCCTCTTTTTCAGTTTTTTATATGAAGAATCTATCCTTTATTTAGTTATATCATTCAATCTTACTCTGTATATTTTAAGATAAAATTATTTTTCTAAAAACAAATTTATTAATCATATTTTTAAAAATGTATTTTTCTAATAAAAATTATATTTTTACATTATTAAACTTATTTTATGGTAATTTTAGTTTGCATGTATTTTTCATTGATAAATTTTTGTTGCACAATATTACTGAATTCTTATTTCATGATAACATATATATAAATTATATCACAAAGAGCGATATTTGTGCGACTTCGATATTACATATTTGTAAGAATAGAAGAAATAACAAACACTAGAATTCTAGAATTGCACTTTCTTTATAATATTAATTTAACTCACAGAATTAGAAAAAACAATATTGGTTTATAACATAAATTTGACAATAAATTGTTTTTAAATCAATTGAAGAGAATATTGCATATAATGCACATGCAACCAAATTGAGTTTTATTTCATATCATCACGATATTTGGTAAATATTTCAAACAATAAACATTAATGATATGCTAAATCACATACTTAAATTCAAAAAAAAAATTGCAAAACTGTTATTAGTATTAAAGTAGAATTATTTGAACTTGTACAAACTTCTGTCGATATTTAAAAAAATAGCTACATTATTTTATTATCCAATTTATTAACAACAGAGCAATTAGTTTAGCAGTTATAGCGAAATAAAATTCTTGATAAAAAAATAGTTCAACTTTTATTTAACAATATTTAAAGATTTTTGTTATGTTTTCTAGATTCAAATTACCTAATATTGACTTGATTTATAGAGTATAACAGCTTTGCTTTATATTAGTAGTAATGAACCTATTATATAATGCATTTACAATTACATCAATTTCTTTTATATATAAAATACAGGAAATCGTCATTAATTAATTAATTAATTTTCTTGTTCTTGCATACCATTACTTTCAGTGCCATTTCTATGACTCATATTATCTATATGTCTTTTAGGTTTTCGACAAACGAAATATACGCTATTATATTCACACTGCAACATGCTATTAATGTTCTGTGCATATCGAGTTTTCACACGTGTTTCTTCCTTCTAAAAATATTGTAAATTATGGAATTTGAATAATTTTCTAATAGTTAATATTTTACAAAATTCATTACCTCTAATTGAAATCCAAAACCTTGAATTACATCGCGAACAACATCATAACTTGGTTCTATTGAATCTTCCATTGGCATATCACTAAAATGATATAATAATGGACCAAGATTTATCCATATTCCTCCTGGTTTTAAAATTTTATATATAGTCTCAATAAATTGTACAACATTATTTGCACAATCTATAAAAAAACATGTAGCAACACAATCCCAATGATTATTTTCTGTATAAACCTAAAATATATAATATAAAATAAAAATTTTAAGAAAATATTTTTTATCTTTTAATATATCACAATATTTACCTCAAGAAAATCTCCAGCTGCCATAGAAAATTGTGCATTTTCTGGAAGATCGCTAGGATTTACATCTGGGAAAAATACAGCTTGAGTTTGATGTTCTGGTTTTAAATTATTCATATATTGATGTACCCATGGATGTACCTGATATGAATTTACTCCTCTACATCTTTAAAATATTAAATATTATTAATAAAAATTATTTCAAAAAAGAATCTCAATTTGTTAAAACTTTTTTACATTTACTTACTTATTTAATACAAAATGAGAAGCAAAGAGCATGAAAAGAGAAAATTCATTTCCTTGACAAGTATATCCACGTCTTGCAATTTCATATGCCAATCTTCCCAAACCCGCTCCAGGTACTAGAATTTGCACATCTGATGGTGTACTGGAAATTTACCTATCATTTCATATTTTTCTGAACTATGTTTTACTACACCACAGTAACTATTATAAATATCTGAATTATTTTAATAATGTTTTATTGACACATAATGTGTTCAAGTTTAAGGGGTTCATACCAATATTCTAAAGGAAATTGATTCATAATTTCATCTATAATAGGCTGATAACATGCCATGCGTTCTTCGGTACCTTCCACACTCCAATCACGAACAAGTTGCTTAATTGTAGCTTGGACCTTTTCTTGATCAGCCATTACTGGACGAGGATTTAACGTCTGCAATCAGACCTACCTATATTTTGTACAATAGAATATACTTTTATAAAAAAAGAAGCTTGTTAAGATGATAAAAAAAAATCCAAGCTTGAATGAGAAATAAATCAAATACTTTTTTAAAAAGATAATGTTACAATAAAATTCTTATGCATAAGATAAAAACTTTCCTTTAATAAAAATTATATTAGTAATTAAAAAAACTATATAATTTTAAAATTTCAATTTTCAATAAGAAAATAAAGTATTATTTGATAATATAAATGTAAATATTTTGTTTATGTTTTATATGGTTAATGGAATAAATCATAATTTTAAAAACATATATTGTACAACAGAATATATGTACCACACACCAGGTGAACTTTTCTTACACTTTCAGTCTGTGCAGTAGTTGGGCTCACATTTTCAAAAATATGTGCTACATCCTTTATGATAAGTTTAATTATCTCATCATTATTTTCAATACACCTTTTAACTTCTTGCAAATGTTCTCTATATTTTGATAATAATTTTTGATGATGAGCTGGAAGTGATAGCAAATAGGATTCTGTTTTTTTAACCCTTAGTAGTGAATGATTTCTGTAAAAAGAAAACTATTATATAAGTAATATTTATAGTATTGATACATTTGTAAATTTTACTCTTTATTTTAAGTCATAAAATTATGATTTTAAAATTTATTTAAGCAGAACAATAATAAACAAATTAAACAATAATATTTTGTCTAAGAAATTACATTATTATAGAAAAAATTAAAAGAATTTCTATAATCATAATTATGAAATTGCAAATAAAATATAATACAATGCTTTATCATTGAAGGTTAAGCAATGATACTAAGAATTTTGAACAACACTTGAAAAATCATGAAAGACATTTTACAAACTTATCACAAGTACTATGTTCAATGAAAAAAGCAAAAGAATAAAGGCAATAAAGATAAGAATGAAATATCGACTTGAGGATTAGAGTCAATCAAACAAAATAATTTTCATGATATACTTACTTGTAATACTTAAAAGCTGAGACAATACGTTGAAAGTGTTTTCTCTCTTCCTCATCTTCATAAGTGTCGTGCATTTTTTTTGGATAAGGATTCGATATTGTTTCCATTTTTATATTCGAATGTAAAACTTAGTATTTTAATGAGTTTTTTAGCACGACTTTCAGTGGCGGCTTTCTTCATGCACGCGTTATGACGCATTCACATTACTATGATAAATCATTGGTTAAGGCTGTATCGACAGCAAATTTTATTTATCAAAAATTAAAATAAATTAATTTTTTACGAGAAAATTGAAATTACATTTTAAATATCAAAAAAAGATTGTTTAATTGCATAAAGCGTAAACTTTTTTAATAAATTTTATTTAGTGTTTTTATAAATTATACAAAATATTTTATAATTTAAATATATACTATAAATCATATAAAAACAATGTATTTTGAAATATCTTATGTTTTAAATACAAATTAATAAAGTAACAAATTTAGATTTTATATATTTTATTTTTTAACTATAAAAACTAAAAGAAATTGAATTGTATAAAGTTATATAACTGTATAATTTAATTTTTTTTTAATTTTTACAATTATAAAGAAATATAAAACAAATAATTTACTTTAAAAGAAAAACTATAAGAATAAATTTTAAAAATTTATTAAAAAAATTATAATGATTATAAAAAATTATAATTTATAAAATAATTATAAACTACTCTAGACAAAAATAAATCGTATATTTAAATTTTATTAGGAATCAATAAAATTTGATTAATATTTCTTACAATAATCCGACATTATTTTAATATAAGAAATTTAAATAATTTGTTTATCATGATTGTTAGCAAAGTGTAATTTCTATATCTGCAAAGTTTCTATAGCTGTTGCAAATTGCAGGTAGGACATGGTTGTCCACGCCGTTTTTAAAAGGAGTTCAGTCGCTAATCAACTGCGGTAGGATACGCTTGGGATCTTACCGCAAACATAATATAGAATCTGCGACTTTTCCGCGTTAGAGTTGCTGTATGAGGCATTTCGCGATGATGACAGTGTAAGAAATTTGTTATACTCTTTATTAAGTATATAGCGGGGGTGTTATTAAACATATTCGTAGCAGGCACCAACGCAAGAAACATGTCTAGTGTACCACAAATGTCTAGTGGGCTTAGCAAGCTTAAAAAGAACATTTCCGAGTTAAACATCAAAAGGTTAAGCTGTTTCGTGCAAATGAACCTCTTCTTAGTGTTTTTATGTGGGGTGTCAATCATACGGTGAGTACTAACATAACTGCGTGACAGCGTCGTACGTCATCGAAATGCCATTTTCTTGTTTCCCTCTTTGAACCTGAATATAATTAAAAATTTAGGATATGTTATTTTGTTTGATTAAATTATTATATCTTTTTCTATAATTTTTTCAGATTGAGAATTGTTAAAATTAAAAACGTACATTGAAAACATAGGGTATATTATTTTTTTTTTACGATTTGCAAAGTATTGTTGAATTTTTTAAACTTAGATTTACAAAATAGAAATATGGCAAATTTTTTTTGTCAACAATTAAATATAATAAAGAATTTATATTATATATAATTTATATTTTATATTCTATAAAATAATGTATAATTTTATTTATATTTGAAATTATATTATGATTTTTATAATTATCTCTTATTTATTTTGTATGAAAAAAATTTAACTGATTAATTTATGCTTTACTATAAGAAGTACTCATTATTATAAAAAATTAAAGATTTAAAAGTTATTTAAGCAAATTATTATTATTATATTTTAATATTTAATTGTTCTTTTGATATAATAAAAAATAATACAATGCAATTATTTCCATATAAGTATATAAGTATGTAGATGATGATATCTATGACATAAATCTCAATTTATGAAAATTATATGATAAAATATTAAAAAATAATAAATATTTTAAATATGGCAAATATGTATATAAGTAAATATTTTGATATAATTTACATGCATTATATTTTTAATCTTTTTTAGTAAATTTTGTAATATTTAATTGTATATTTGCAATAACATTTTATAAAGGAAATAATTATATTTATGTAATTCTTATATTTAATAAATTTATATTTCAGATAAATGAGCTTAGTCATGTTAATATACCAGTAGTACTCCTACCAGACGATTTCAGAGCTTATAGCAAGTTAAAAGTGGATTATCATTTTTTTAATAAGTAAGTTTTATGATATTATATCAAGATATTTTTAATCTAAAACTATCAAAATGATAAGGATTAAAAGAAAAGTATCAAATCTAAATGCAATTGATGACTTCGATATAAGGTTAATGTTTTATCTGATATTAGGATAAAATTATTAATCTAAATGTAAAAGCAAGCATAACTGAGATGGTCTATTCTAAATATATCACTAAATACTGAATTAGTAGGTTGGTCACTGCTTTTAATAATAGAATCAATGAAGGTCTTTATGATTTGTGATTGTGGTTAACGATAAAGATATTCATAGCTTCATTTCTTAATTTAAAAAATATTTGAATACTTTAATAAATAAAACTTTCTGTGGAAATTATTAAATAGTTAAATGTGTAAAATTTTGTATTGTATTATGTATTGTAATGTATTATATATTAAAGATAAATATTTTTTAATTTGCTTTTTAAGTAAGAAAGTTTCTTCATGTATATATATTTTTGTTTTAGGGAAAATATGCCCTCTCATTTTACGTTTAAAGAATATTGTCCATTAGTATTTAGAAATTTACGAGAAAGATTTGGTATAGATGATTTGGACTACAAGGAATCAATGACAAGGTAAAAGATAATCTATTTCATATTCTTTGCTTTTTAAGTAAGTTCATATTCATGTAAAAAATATGTTTTAAATTATTTTAGAAACTAATTAAAAAATATTCAATAATTATAAAATTCAATATTTATTTAATTGAGATATATTATATAAATAAAAAGTAAAACATAATTTTACTTTTTAAATTTTAATTTTATTTTGTTGCACTGCATGTTAAAAATATGTTTTATGTATTTTATAGCTTTATGTATAAATTTCTATAAGTATGATATATATATCAACTATTTGTATGTATTATTAAAATTTGATAAATATTTTTTTTCTGCAATGCAATATATTTATTTATTTATAAAGTATTACAGATGGCTTTATTTAATATAATTTTAAATGAGGATAATCCATTTAAATGATAAGTAAACCATAATTTTTTCATAGTATTTGAGACCAATTTTATATTGAAATATAAAAAGTATATCTATCATGTCAAATTTTTAATAAAATAAAGAAAAAAATATTTTTTAACTTCAGTATAGTCTTAAATATAATGAAAAAAATATATTAACAGGTAACATATTAGTATTGTGACTAACATTTCAGAATATAATATTTAGTATATTATATTGCAATTATGTAAATATATATATTTATATATAGAAATAGTGAATTTCTTTTATTTCTTTATGTATAAAAAATATTTTTCATTTGAATATAATATACAAGTATTGTTAATAGTAAATTGTAATACAAGAATTTTGATACTAGATGTCGGGCATTTAATCCTTCCCTATCAGAGAGGCATTGGAATTTGGATAAGAATGGGAAGACTCATAAATTGGTTCAACATTCTGCTACTACTCCTTCAATAACTTTTTCTCCTTCTCCTGTTCTTTCACAAATTCCAGTCCTAAGTAAACCATTATTACGTTCCTACAGTTTTAAACCAAAGCGTCTGAGGTTAGCCAGACTTGATTTTTCATTTTGTGCGTGTTGCTTGTGGCTAACACGTTTTCATGAGATCTTCATTAAATATAAAAAATCAAATTTTAAAGGAACATATTGTATACAACATTCTTGTATAGTATTATGCTATTTCATGTAAATTTATGTCCATAATTAAATGTTTGTAAACAGTATACGTTTTGAGAAATTATTCAAAATTAGAGCATGAATTTCTTTTAATATCCTTACTTGGATATAATATATTTATAATATTATTTGTTTTTATTATATAATAATAATATGCTATGTATATAATATCATAATATGAGTTAATTAATTATTATGCTTAATAATTATTTATTTTTTTTTATATATGCATGCTAACATATATGGCAGAAATAAATTAATAGTGTTTTATGAAATTACAAAAAGAAAAAAATTTTGGTTGCTAGAAATAATTAATTTATTATGTCATTATGCTAGGTCAATATTTATAAAAATCAAAAAATTTATTATTATTTTTATCTTTTTTAGATCACAACCTATATTAGAAGACTCATCTGGAAAAAGTGGTGCAAAATTTTATCAGTCTTATGATAAATTGTTTATTATTAAAACTCTTACAGGAGAAGAAGTAGAAAGAATGAATTCATTTTTAAAACATTATCATCCAGTATGTAGCAATTGTATTTTGATATATATTTATCATATTATTATTATATATTATTATATATAATTTCACATATAACAATTCTATTTTTATAGTATATTGTGGAAAGACACGGAAAAACTTTATTACCTCAATATCTTGGCATGTATCGTTTGACAGTAGACGGAGTCGAACATTATGTTGTTGCTATAAGAAATGTATTTTCAAATCATTTAACCACTCATAAAAAATTCGATCTCAAAGGTTCAACAGTAGATCGTGAAGCTTCTGATAAAGAAAAAGAAAAAGATTTACCTACTTATAAAGATAATGATTTTGTTAAAGAAGGAATGAAAATTTATATTGGTGAAGAAGCAAAAACTAAACTTATAGAAACATTAACTGCTGATGTTGATGTGAGTTTTATTTTTTTTATTTTATTATTTATTATATCTAATTAATTGTAATATATATGTTATTTATTGATTATTTATATATTTATTGAGGAATCAATTATTATAGTTTTTAACAAAGTTGCATTTAATGGATTATTCTCTATTACTTGGACTACATGATTGTGCACGAGCTGAACAAGAAAATAGAGAACGTGCTGAGAAAGAGGAAGAAGAGGATAATCATGAAGAAGAAGATGATAGCGAATCGGGAAGCGGACTTGATTCACGAGGTCCAATGGGAGAGTATGTTTCAAATATTAATCAAATATTTTATATAGAATTTTATTTTCAGAATTTATAATATTTAATATTCTTATAGTCGTCTATGGGGTTGGAGTGGTGTTGCAGGTATGACAACTCCTCCTGAATCGCCACATGCCGCATTAATGCGCGATACAAGTTTACAATATGAAGATGCAATAATTCCTGAATTAGATATTTATGCAATTCCTAGTAAAGAAGGTAATATTTTTAGAATTAATATAGAAATACTTAAACTAAACATTTGAATTTTATTTATTTTAGGTGCACCTACTAAGGAAATTTATTTTTTAGCCATAATTGATGTGTTAACTCATTATGGTGTACGTAAACAGGCAGCAAAGGCAGCTAAAACAGTGAAGTATGGTGCTAATGTTGATGGTATATCAACCTGTGATCCAGAACAATACGGCAAGCGATTTATAGAGTTCATGAGCAAAGCTATAGAATAAGCTCCTTGTTCGTTGTTGTTAAGCTTGTAAATTTGGACCGCTTGTTTGAAAGTCGTGATGATACTATCGCTTCTTATTACGTTAACATTAAGTGCATCGCATTTGCACTTTGATGTTTGATCATAAAAATTTTTATTTGATATGTCAGTACTGTTGATTATATATTTCAGTATTCCTTATGACATGTACAATTGAATTAGAAGCATAACCAAATTTTAAAAATTATAGACTCTTAGAAGATCTGTTGAAGATTTCTTTTCAGAAAATGTTTAATAATTTTTATAATCAGTGATATATTTTCTCAGTATTTAATTATTAATTTCTTTATATTCAATTATTGATTCATATTCAATTATTCTCTAATTTAATATTATTGTTTTTTTCTTATATTCTTTATTTTTTGTTTATGTTATTCATAATTCCAAAATATGAAAACTTAATTTTTGTGTATTATGTGTTCAAGCAAAACATCATGAAAGTTCTCTTTATTGCACATAATCTTTATTTTATAAGATTGTAATTGGTACAGTTAATACTATATTCAAAAACAAATTTTTTACATACATTTGTTAATATCTTTTTGTTGCATTAATTAATAAATAATGCTAACAAAAAATGTATGTATATTATTTTTGATGCACATAATGTGCTAAAAGTTGCGTCATTTGGCAATAAATAATATGTAAATTAGTTTACTGAAAAATATTAAAATGAATGTTGATGTTAAATATGATAATCTCAAATGAAGCATGGTTTAGTATTTCACAAAGAAAGCCTATTTATGAGAGTCTCTCCGATTTCATCAAAATGAATTATATTGCTTCTAATCTAGTGTCTGTGGTGTCGTCTGGAATGTTTAAATATCCGAAGTAGAATATAACAGTTTTTACAGTGAGAATTTTCTTTTTTTAGTAGGTCTAAAAGGAGGAGAGAAGTAATATATTATATGCGCAAAAGATACTATAATATAAGAGCTTCAAATGTTAACAAATTATTAGTAAATGTCAAAGTCTGTAAATGTCATCTCTTTGATCATTTCAGTTACCACGAATCGATGTTAAAACCGATTCGTTTATTTAGCGAAATACATTTACAGGGAATAAGTTGTACGTATTATGCACGATTCATCTCTCCTTTCATATTTAAATTTATACAAATTTAATTAACTAATGATGATTTCATTAAGAAAATTAAGAATACAATATATATATATATATATATATATATATATATATATATATATAT